AAAATGTATGCACAAATTCAGGCAGTGGAATTAGAATGAAGGTCACGTAAGTAGAAATGAGTTGAAAGGGGATATGAGGCCTGAAACACAATTTCTGAGGCCCCCCCCCCCACCCCCGCTTGTTAGGTGAGCACTTTTTTAGAGTGTGTGTGTGTGTGTGTGTGTGTGTGTGTGTGTGTGTGTGTGTGTGTGTGTGTGTGTGTGTGTGTGTGTGTGTGTGTGTGTGTGTGTGTGTGTGTGTGTGTGTGTGTGGTGTGTGTGTGTGTGTGTGTGTGTGTGTGTGTGTGTGTGTGTGTGTGTGTGGTGTTGTGTGTGTGTGTGTGTGTGTGTGTGTGTGTGTGTGTGTGTGTGTGTGTGGTGTGTGTGTGTGTGTGTGTGTGTGTGTGTGTGTGTGTGTGTGTGTGTGTGTGTGTGTGTGTGTGTGTGTGTGGTGTGTGTGTGTGTGTGTGTGTGTGTGTGTGTGTGTGTGTGTGTGTGTGTGTGTGTGTGTGTGTGTGTGTGTGTGTGTGTGTGTGTGTGTGTGTGTGTGTGTGTGTGTGTGTGTGTGTACTTGCTTAGGCAACAGAATGCCCCATTGTGAAGGCAGCACAGAGACCCTGTTATTGGCAGCTTTCTGAGTGGGAGAGAGGGAGTGCAGAAAACGATGGAGCGAGGAAGACGTGAACAGAGGAAAATGCCGGCTGGAAACTTTAGAAAATAAAGTAGAAAAAAGGAAGTCTACATTTATTAAACAGAAGTACTAACTTTACAGTTCAGGCAAAAACACGTTGACATTTTGGAAAATAAGCTTGAGTTTCATCTTACCGATAAAGTATCAATCAATCAATCATCCCTCTGATTAAAGTACACTACACTTGGTAACACAAGATTTAATGTAAGTGTTGATGATCCACAGTTTTACCTCTCATGTACAACACATTAACTGAACAATCTGACTTTACTGCGTTCCCGTTAATCAAATTGGATGGATTGGAGCTAACTTCCTACAATTAGCAATAAAACAAAGGTTTTGATCTTTGGTCCAGAGCATCATAAACCACAGATACCGTCTGACCTGGCTTCACTTTATGCAAATGTTCAATCCTTGGTAAAGAACCTTGGGGTATCATTTGATAGCCATTTATCCTTCAGGCAGCATACCAGAAATGTCACCGAAAGTTAGATTAGATCAGTTAAAAAACCAATAAGACGGTGAAAAAAACTAAACATAAATGCATTAAGTCATCAAGCCTTGACTAACTATTTTTCTTGTTTACCTCCCAGTTAGTCTCAGAATTGCAATTTATCCAGAAGCCATAATATTAACGTTAAGTAGGAAGTTCTGTCATATCACTCATACCCCTACATACCAGGCAGGCCCCTAAGATCATCAGACGAATACCTTATAGCTGTTTCACTGACCAGACTGAAAACCACAGGGTCCGTGTGTTATTGGTTACCCCTCCCCCCCCCCCTCCCCCTCAGCTCTGGATCAGCCCTCCCCTCAGTGTGTGACACCTTAATATCATCATTTTAGCATCTATGTTTTGCACTTTTTATTTGTTTTCTAAATCCAAGAGTGCTCTTTATAAATAAGATTAGTATTGTTAACGTTTATGAAGATGACCCACACACTTGTAAGCCACTGAGTTTAGCCAGACAAATCAATGTCAAAATCAAGTCTGTTGCAAAAAAATATCAACTTTATTATTAGTTATGTAATATTTCAGATGATCTGCTATAGATACAGTCTCACAGGCAATATCACAAAAGCATTGCACAGTCTATGTGACTGCTAAACTTGCACTTACAAGACAAACAGAAACTGTATAATTCACAATGCTCCTCCAAAGCGTGACGGCACCCCTGACTGTGCTGCCAAGCTAATACTGTCTCAGAGCTCCCACTATTGTACTAATATGCATGTATTTAAATTAGGTAACATGCACGCATTTAGTGATACATTAGCCCCTTTCTATGCAAATGAGCCTAATTGTAAAAACAGTCCAATTCCCAAAGATCTGCACCAATAGCCACATGCAGTTAAAGTGAATTTGCTTGCGTCTTCAGAGAGTTGCTGGGAACTCAAATACATTTGAACCGACAGACTGGGATATTAGACCCAAAGTATGGTTTCTTTGTATTGCGTAAACATTTCCTTTCCTGAATCTTACCTTGATAGTTTAGGACCTGCAGCTTGTGGTCTGCAAATCAATATTGAGTTTTTCTCTCTGCTATTGTTGTGTCTAGTGGGTTGCATTAACATTTGTACTTTGCCACAAAGGGCAAATTGCACTGAGCTTCATAACTTTATGGCCATGTTTGTGCTTTGATATTATCATAACTTTTGTGAATTGAACCTTGAGACGCTGATAGTGTTTTTCATTGATGCACACTTAATGGTGCTATCAGTGACTGCAATCTTTTCTGTTTTAAATATGCTCATCAGAAATGATCTGCTTTTATCACGTTGTGTCTTAATTATTGCAGCAGCTTTGTCACTTATTGTAATAAAAAATGATTTAATTAAATGATGCCCGGCTTTGGACAAGAGTTAAAGAGGCAAAACTTTGTGCCGTTTAAACATGACTGTGTTTATTAGTTCTTCTCTGCCTATATGTACAAAAACAAAGCTGATTAAGGGCTTTTAGACCAAACTGCTGAGGTGAAAAATATATGTATCTGGTCAAATATGCTGAGACCCGTTTAATATTTATTTGTGTCTGTTCTAATGTCATTTTTTGACTCAGTGTGCTTGTTTAGTTTATGAGAAACTCCCCGATGACGGCTGAAGACCAATCAGCCTGTAATTCATCATGTTTCTGAGCAAAGAGTTCCTCAATTCAAAAATAGGAACTATGTTTGATCAGAGAGCAAGATTCATCCTGTCCCTGCACTCTGTGGTCTTTGCCCTGTTAGAGGAAACATTTGACAGGAAATGAAATGCCCTCGTTTGTACATACTCACACACTGGCGAATAGCATGTCTCAGACTGGATGTTGTGCTCAGCCTCCTTCGCCCCCACTGCTAGCTACCCAGGTAAAAAATAAGATCTTACTCAGGATTTCATTTCTTGTTTGCCTCTGCTGTTAGTAATACATCTAATGCTTCTGTGTACTACAGATTAACAAAACTAGCTACTTATTCTTGAATATTTTTAATGTAATTGTATCTAAAATCCAGTAAAATGGTCAAGGAATGTAATATAATTCAAGCTAATTTTCTGTTACAAACAGAAACTGTATAATTCACAATGCTCCTCCAAAGCGTGAAGGCACCCCTGACTGTGCTGCCAAGCTAATACTGTCTCAGAGCTCCCACTATTGTACTATATGCACGCATTTAAATTAGGTAACATGCACGCATTTAGTGATACATTAGCCCCTTTCTATGCAAATGAGCCTAATTGTAAAAACAGTCCAATTCCCAAAGATCTGCACCAATAGCCACATGCAGTTAAAGTGAATTTGCTTGCGTCTTCAGAGAGGTGCTGGGAACTCAAATACATTTGAACCGACAGACTGGGATATTGGACCCAAAGTATGGTTTCTTTGCGTTACGTAAACATTTCATTGTTGGGTACATTTCACTCTCTCTGGAGTACTGTTTCAGGAGCTAAAAAAACGTTATTTAAAGTCCAATAGGGTGATTAGGTGGTGGACCTTGTATTAAGCTATAAATAAATCACAAACAAAGTGCTTATTATTGTCATCCTAGGCACATTAACAGGTCCCCACAATGAATATTCAGTTCATAGGCTCCCACAGTAAAGTATGTGTTGGTGTTTAGGAGAGACTTAGACTGTTTGTGGCTTGGTCTTAAAACCATCAGCTTCCCCTGTGGTCAAAGTACAAGGCTGAGATAAAACCGTGTGAATGCAGTGTAAGTATTATCAGCTTGATCTGTATTAATGTTTTTGACATGCTGTAGCTCTTCTTTCTGCATCACAACAACAACAACAACATTCCTCTCTGAGCTATTTCTCACAGGCAGGCGGGTTTGCGTCATGTGACTGCAGCTGGTTATTCCCTGTTTCCTTATCAAGGCATTGTGGCTCGTGTGAAAACTTCATACAGACCTGGACAGTTCAAACACGGTCACATGTTCATTATTCATATCTTAAGTCACACAGCATTAGAAACTGAAACCTAGAGTGGAGTGCACGTTGAGAGAGTGCAAATGGATTAAGATGGGGTTGCTTTCTGGGAAGCTGATCTTGAATCCACTTATGCAGCATTCAAGTTTGTGTTCGAGAGATGAAGAGAGAATTGGGTGAGTCTGTGTGGACGTGCGTTGTGTGCCAATACTTGTTGTGTCAACTACACTTCCTCCCAATTGTGGGCTGGTGTGTGAAGGTGTTGCTCAAAAGGAATAATCTTTAAGTTAAGTGGTTCCTTTTTCAAAATATGTGCTTTTATGCTTAACACTCGTATATGTTTGCCTCGAATGAGTGACACCTTCTAAGTCACTGAAATAAAATATGATCATTTGATTTAAGCGGTTTCTTAATCAAAAGTGTTTTCAATATCTTTTTTATAGCTGTCTATAGACCTCAAAGTGAGCATAACTACTGTTGAAAATGACAATGCATTTCAAAATGATTTGGGGATTTTACTGAAGAAGCGTCAACACAACTTCCTCTTTAAGCGACTTAATAGTCACCAACCCTGAGAGCAATTCATCACACCTTGACACTACAGTCTATAAATATATCCAACTCTCATATGTATAGTACCGTCATCATAAATGTTAATCATCAGTATTTGTCTTTCGGGAAGCATAACATAACATTACTCAATGCATGATTTCCCAAATTAGTTAAGAACAAAGGAAGTATCTTTCATCATCTGGTATATAATCAGACCAGTGACGCACAATTATGAATTTTTAGGAAGAACATCTTTGTTTCGAGCTGATGCATGTTTGTGTTTAATTGTGTCCCATTTGAAAACGCTTTATTAAACCATTTATAACCTCGAAAGGATGGAGTGCTTTTTGTTAATACATGTTTTCTTCAACAGGTTGCGTCAGCCATGATCTGAGGTCTGCATTTTCTCTGCGGACGTAGACTTCCCCTCCCACATGCTGCAGTCACACACACACCAGTCATGTCTGAATCCTGTTTGACTGTGTGGGACTGGTTAAGCGTTCTTCGTCTGGAGCAGTATTCTGAGGCTTTTCAGAGCGCCGGGCTAGCATCGTTCCGACAATGTCACAACCTCACCTCCGACACACTGGATCAGATGGGCATCACCCTGCCAGGGCACCAGAGACGCATTCTGGCTAGCCTGAACAAAACACATGCTAAGAGCGACGCACACTTTGACACATACTCTTACATCTTACCGCCTGAGAGAGACCAGAGACCAGAGGAAACGGGACCCCCCAAAGTGTTGCAGAGAGAAAGACCTGTGCCTATCCCAGTGGAAGATACACCTGTCCCTAAGGAAAGGGAGTTAAGAGATGGAGAGACATCAAGACCTACACCCAGGGAGAGAGAGAAACCAGTACCCAGGGAGCGCCGGGTGCACAGGATGAAAGAGGAGAGCGGAGAAGCAGAAGAGAAGAAGCCAGTTCCTGAAAGACAAACGGCACCTCGAGGAGGGAAGGAGGAGGAGAGGGACGGGGGAGGAGATGGAGAGAGGAGGAGGCCTGTGCCTAAAGAAAGGACCAGGTTTCTCACTAGTGCTCCAGACGACTGTGACCCAAGCCAAGTTATTTCTCCAACTGCTGACCCTTCTTTGCCCCCTGTCCCTCCACGAAGCACCCCCAACTGCCCTCCACAGTGCTTCTCCTCCCCCCTGAGCCCCTCACCTGCTGCTCGAACCCCTGTCTCTCCTAAACTGGACAGCCATGCAGTTACAACCCCAACTGTACAGAGCAGATCAGTGTTTCATAGTTCCCCCACACATGCACCTCTCCCTCCTCCTGAAACCCCGTCTGCCCCAACTCGGCCTCAGACATTAGACATTCAGCCGCCTGCCCATCATTTGGGGAGTGATGGAGGAAGAAAAACGTCACCCGTATCCCCCACTGCTCCCCAAAGCGATGGAATAAGTGCTCCACCTCTTCCTCCAAAAGTAGGGGCGGTACCTAAAGGCCCTCCACCAATCCCACACCGGCTACCTGCACACTCTCCCAGAACTCACAGGTAAGACTACTTTTTTCCAGTTAATCCCTCCCCCTCTTCCCTGTTGTATTAAAGGGCAACTCTTTACAGGACAATAGTTAGGGTATAAGTTTTCCATCCCACTTAAAGTACATGTTTTGCCATCAGCACTACAGTATATGTCGGTTAACTTAGAGCAAAAGACTGCTTTGATAGTAAGATATAGTAACATGCTCTTTGTCTGAGTGAGTAAGGGTGCTGTATTAAAGGGTAAATTATAAAGACAGCTTTAAATGATTTGATAAGTGATAGTTTGATAGTGTGTTTGTTAAAAAATTGTCAAGAATCTGAACTCTACACTTGTATTAGTTCTTAAAGGATTGTACTGCCCCCTATTGGACAAAAGGGATCCTTGCATCTCTTAAGTATCATTTAAGTCACAAAACATATAATTGGTGACTTTTAAACACTTCCTGAAATAAAAAAATAGACACTTCCTGAAACTGAATGACTGAAGAACATTGACTGAAGGAGTGGACCTAGCTTTGTGGCTTATTCAACACGGAAATGTGTGTACATCTGATGTGTGTATTTGTGGTTGCTCATGCGTGTGTGTTTTGTTCAAAGGATCTATGGTTACTTTGTCTGAACTTTTATACTCCTACACTGTGTAAATGTGTGAAATACATTGCATAATGCAGTATTTAAATAATTTGCACTGGTCATTTTTGTGTTTTTCTCTTTGTGGACATTTATGTGTTTGCAAAATTGTGGATGTGCAAAGAAATGTTTTTAAGAGTATGCATTTTTTTCTTTTGCAAACTTTTCTTCTTCTACTAGATTGAAAGGGTAGCAAGTCTTTATCATATGTCTTTTTGTGTACTTCCTGGTGATCACATGCTAGATGTTATCTGTATCTTGCCACCAGTAAGGGGAAAGAAACCTAGGCCTATCCTCAGGAGTACTTCTATTATGAGCAACATATGCATGATCTCTGTCTGTGCTTTAAAAGGGAAACTAGCTAAGGGAGGAAGTTACAATGAAGAACAAAACAGAGCGGTTTAAAACCCTTCTCATTAGCCTGTCTGAGTGACACAGGGAAATAGAGAGAGTGAAAACTAAATGGAGAAAGAAAAGACTGTAGTGGTTGTTACCAGGGAGTACCTTCAAACTTTTGTAGCTTTTAAGAGCACACATTCACACGCTCTGATGTTTCCTTGCTAGTGTGCTTCACTGCCTCCTCCCACCTTCTTGTGACTGGTCATTTCCTCCTCCTTTTTCCTTCTTCTCCTCCGGTGTGCATGTGTGTGTTTACGGTTGTTGTTTTGCCACTGAAGAGGACTCCTTTTGAACATGTCGTAACAGGTAACATTGACATTAATCTTGTCTCTTTTTTGTTTCTACTCACCTTCTTATAAGTAATCCCTTACTCTGTTCTGTGTGATAGTTTCAACAAGGAAGCCTTTCTTTTTTTGCTGTGTTGTAATCCTTTCTGCTGTTACTACTGTTTTCAGTGAATAGAAAGCAAAGTGCTGTTAGTGGAGATGTTATCCTGTTACTTGAGTTTGTGTTTTACCTTCACCAGAGTATATCATTTTGTTCAAAAATGATCCTGTTTGTGACCAGTTATCCTGTCCAGTCCTGTCCTGGAGCTGTACACTTTTAGAGGACTGACAGTGTTATTAGGGTATGACCGGTATGTCTGCGAAAAATGCAAAAACCAGTAAGATGATATTTTGCAAATAGATACTTTGGGGTGTTTAGCTGTCAGAGAAATCAGGTCTTTTCTTAGAGAAAAGCCTACTGTTAGCTTTACTTTCAGCACTCACTATCAGCGATGTCAAACAGACCGTTGTTCAAACAGAGGCTATAAATAATGCACATTGACTTTGTGCCACAGCATGAAATAGCTTGGTGCTGTCCTTAAATGATAAACTGCTACATTTTGAACCTAGCACCACATATGCTAGCTTAAAATGTATCTTACAGTAACTCTTAAAACCATCCATTACCTATTGTTACATGATCTCAGCATAAGGGGTAGAAATGTTCCCAGAATAAGTTCACATGCACACAATGTGGGAGGGGAAAGGAGCAGTTGTTATTTCTTTAGTTCACTGACTTCCATTAGCTAGCAGAACGCAGGTTAAATATAGCATTTAGCTAGCATCCCCTCTCAGCACTCTTCCTCTGAGTAAAAGGAGGAACTGTGTCAACAGGTCAGTTTCCCGTCATTGTTTATCATCTTCTGGATTATTATTTAACAGAGCAAGGGAATAGAATATGAATTAAGTGTCAAGTTTAATTTAGAATTTGTCCAAACTGTTTTTTAAGTTTTGTCTTAAGCCGCCGGTCCAATAGTTAAGTATTTGTTTAAACTTTTTTCTTTTGCTTATTGTCTCATAGTGCCTTTTTAACCTAAAACAAATCAGTAATAGTTATTCTGATAGTATTCCACTCAGGTATGTGGAACTTGCAACTTCCTTGATTTATTTGGAAACTAAGTGACATATTATATATGTTCGATGTTGCGCCATTTGCAGTGATTATTAACAAATATCTCTCAAGCTTTGAAATCTTGAAAGCTAACCATTGAGACTGTAATGAGAAGGATATCCACAAAAAAAGGAGGATAAAAGAGGAACTTTCACAATACTGGATGAATAGAAACCAGGCCTGTGTGCTAACTCTTGACTTTCCCGTCAGCTTGAAATAATTATGTTAACTTTAGGATAAAATAGTGGTAACAATATGAAAATTATTCAACAAAACAGTTTAATAAATGTTCAGCAGCAAATGTTCTTTATTGGGTTGTTTGTAAATGTCATACAGTTTTCTTTAGCCTATGCTATTTTTTACATAAAAGTGAACAGTAGCTATGTATGAAGGATATTGCGGATTATGAACGCTCTTTTATTAATAGCAAAAATGCAACAATGTAAGATATATTTTAATAAACATGTATATCACAGGCACTGTCTTCACATTCAAAACCACATTAGTAACGTAACTCTCTTTCTGGTTGGCTCATCTGTCTATGCAAACAGAAGCAGAACTGAGCTGTGGTAAAGTTTGATGAATCTCAGGTTATTTGTAATGTCAGGTCTTCTGACCCTGTGCATATGTGTTTTCTATTAAGAAAACAAAGTAATATTGTTATTATTTCAGACAATATTGCACTTGCACGATAAATGTAAGCAGTTGGAACAAGTTGTCCAAAGAGAAGGAGTTAAAATATCTTGAGGTGTTGTTGAAAAGGGAGGGTAAGATTGTGTGTGAGATCAACCCTGAATATTATGGTTGATAGAGATAAGTAGTGAATTATGTGTGAGAAACTTAGCCTGCTGCCACCACAACCCAACCCAGAAGAAGCATCAGAAGAAACTGGATTGATACACAAGTGTGTACTGCGAGTAACACTATTGCACATGTTAAGTATTTCATGTGTGCCATGATTATAAACAGTATTATCACGATATTAAGCTGTCCTGAAATCATGCTTGTGATTAAAATATTGCTAAATGACTTCACTTTAGGTCTGCATTAGATGTAATCAAATGTAGCAAACATCAACTGTTTAGCAGCTTTGAATTCGACTCTGTGAAAGCCGGATTTGAACCTAGGTTCCTCGTCGGTGTCATAACAGCTGTGCCAATTGTTACAGCTTAAATGTTTCACTACATTATGTTGTACAACAGGTTAAGGCCCATCGGCACATAGCTCACACATGTGTTTGTGTGTTATCAGTGGAGCCAGAGGTATGCTGTGTTTACATGAAGATATATTTCAAGATGAGGCAGGCTCGGACTTGCTGCTTTACCTAGAATTTGAAAAACATTCAGACAGTCAGGAGAGGAGCAGAGGAACGCAGGTTTGCAACTACTCTGAGATCAATTTCTGGGACAAAAACGACAAGTTTGTTGCCTGCAACTTTTTCCTTTAGCAGTTGGTCCATGTACTTTTCACTATGGAATGACAAGACAGGAGGGTAGTGTATAGGGGCGGCCAGCTTTCTTTTGTACAGAGGATGTATGCAATCGGCCGTCTTCTTGGGATTTTCACCCAACCTCCGAGCACTGCGGTGTCCGAGGACTCTTCTCCTGCTCCTCAAACATCTGTTGACCTTACCTGTGACCCTTTATCCCCCAGCCCCTCTCACATCAAGACGGTTGCTGATGACCTCCAGAAAGACCAAACTCCACAGGTGCCTCCTCGCATCAGGACACCGCAAACTCTAGAAGACGCACATCAGTCCACCCAGCCTGTCGCTCAGCCAGCGCTGCCTGCAAGGAGAGCCCCCCAACCCCCCCGTGAATCCAGTAAGTAGTATATTCAGGATATAACACTTTTGGGTTCCTAATACACCCATGATCGTTTAACTCAGGGATGGGCAAATGGCGGCCCGGGGGCCGCATGCGGCCCCCACCTCCTCTTTTTGCGGCCCTCAGAATAATTTATAAACAACGTAATTAATAAAAAAAATAGACTCCTAGTTACGTCGCGAGCTGCGTACATGATTTCAAATACCGCAAAAATAATCTGTGACGCGTTTGTGTGTATTGTGTTTGCTTCCCGGGGAAACACTCACAAGAAACACCGGCTGTTGTTATGCCTGCTGTGACGTTAAGTTACCGCTTGTAATTATGCCTTTACAAGCTTAAAAGTTGTATTTATCATCTGAATTTGGCGAAACAAGTTTAGTATTCTAAAAACCAAGACCCTGTTTATTTGAAATCAGATGAAAACAAACTGTCACGGACCCTGCCGTGTTATCTATGATTACTATACGCTTTTCATTCATAATTTCAGCGGGAGGGAGGGGGAGCGGCACTGGAACAGCAGAGTGTGGGTTGACAGGTGTCTGTGTTGACATTCCCCTTATTGTGGAATAAGGGGAATGCAGAGACAGGCTACAAGTGTCTTAGGTTCAAGTTAGACAACTAATGTCTGGGTTAGTGTTCATGACTTCATGTTTATGTCATCTTAATGGTTAATCTCGATGAACACACATTTTCCGTGCTTTCCAACAGTTTTATTCCACTGTTAAATAACCTGTTCAATACAAACATGCCACTTGTAAAAATTAAATAACATTTCTGTGAACTGATATTTGTTTAGTGAGCTTATTAGAGGATGTTCCCTGAAAGATTGTAAAATGTCAATGAAGATTTCAGACTAAGTATATTTGTTAATAATTACATACAACACATGGAATTTGTGTGTGTGTTCCAAGTGAATCTGAGGCCCCCTGGTGGCCAGTACATCAATTATGTGGCCCCCACCACCATCCAAGTTGCCCATGCCTGGTTGAACTAATGCAGCACCTCTTAGATATTTTGCTTTTGTTCAGTTATTGTAAAATATGTTTTCTCCAACTCCATACAAAAGTATTTTGAGTGTTATGTATCAGTCAAAAAAGACACAAACACACAACAAAGTGAAATACAAATATCGCTGCAAAAATGTTTCCCCAAATGTTCTATAAATATGCAAACTATTGTTTTTTGTGAATTCTTCTGACCACAGTAATAATTTAATTGAAAACCTTATCATCGTGACATCTTAGCCCTATTGTGAGTCCGTTTCTTATTCAAAATTGAACCTGAGTTCATTGTCCACCTTTTATTCCCTAAAGGCACTGGGAATTATGTCAAACATACATTTATGTGAAAACAATAAAAAAAGAAGATGATTTATTTTCACTTTCGGTAAAAGTTTAAATGCTTCTGAAATATTATTTAACTAAAATCTTCTTATTGCAACGTTTTTACCTCAACATATGAGCTTGTAAATACATCTTTCATTGGGCAACTTTTACCAGTAATTGTAGATAAATGGTAAACGTTTTATTTTAACATGAAAGTGTTAAAAGAGTTAGGGTTTTTGAGCGGTAGACTCAAAAGTACCATTAACACTCCCACTGTAAATGTAATTTAAATCAATTAATGACATGACACCGACCGTGCCTGTAAAAACCAGTTCAACCAGTTCAACTAACAAAAAGAGATGAACATTTTGAGAGAGAGAGAGAGAGAGAGAGAGAGAGAGAGAGAGAGAGAGAGAGAGAGAGAGAGAGAT